TTTTTTTTTGAGATGGAGTCTTGCTCTGTTCCCCATGCTGGAGTGCAGTGGCATGATCTCAGCTCACTGCAACCTCCACCTCCTTGGTTCAAGTGATACTCCCACCTCAGCCTCCCGATTAGCTGGGCTTTACGGGTGTGCTACCACGCCTGGCTAATTTTTTTATTTTTAGTAGAGACAGGGTTTCACCATGTCGGCCAGGCTGGTCTCAAACTCCTGACCTCAGGTGATCTGCCCACCTGGGCCTGTCCAAGTCTTGGGATTACAGGCATGAGCCACCGCACCTGGCCCAATTTCCCTAAGCTATTTTTGTAAAAGTAACATTATTTTTGTATTAAAATATTTTGAGAAGTTTCCTAAATTTTGAAATAACTTCATAAAAGGATTTAAGCTGAATAGTAAGTTGATCTCTTTCCAATTTGCAGGGTGATGACATAACAAGATTTTAAAAATGTGATTTGAGAATTGAAATAATTAGGAAGGAAGATATGCTTAGACCTAAATATGGGAAATATAGGAGAAGGCTCAGTTCTAACCCGTCAATTCCCAAAAACATTCAGCTTTGGGATGTCTAACTTTATTTTTGTCCTTGGTGGTTTCCTATTTAGCTGGACAATCTGTGTTTATCCACTAAAGTAGCTATAACTTAAAATATTCATTTTATTTTTAGAATACTAGAATTCAGTAGGTTGGAAAATGGGGACAGGAACAGAAAATTCCGCAACACAGATGCTTAAAAAGCATCTGTGAGACAAGAAATTTGTGAATGGCAAACTGCAAACTAAGTTTTTCCCTCTTTGTATTCAGCTTGGGCAGGTCTTTGTTAGAAATTCTCGTTCAATTTTAATCCGAAAGATTGTAGAAAACCTGGAATCCAGAAAACAAAACATTAATTCTGCTAGGAATAAAGTGACATAATCCACTTTGAGAAAGCAAACCAAAACATGAAATTGTTTTGAGACAATATGGTTGAATTTAACAAGGAGCCCAAATTATGGAATCTCAGGCTCAGATGCTGTGTTAAGAGGCAGCATCAACATTATGTTGAGCGAACATCTGAGGGTAAGGATGGTGGCTTGTGTTCTGGGGCACAGCACACCTGTTTACACAGGTGAAGTAATCAAGAGTGGGCCTTGAACAGCAAAATGGAAAGACAAATAGAAATATACATCTTGGCCGGGCGTGGTGGTTCACACCTGTAATCCCAGCATTTTGGGAGGCCAAGGCAGGTGGATCATCTGAGGTCAGGAGTTTGAGACCAGCTTGGCCAACATGGCAAAATCCCATCTCTACTAAAAAAATACAAAAATTAGCTGAGCATGGTGGCACACACCTGTGGTCCCAGCTAATCGGGAGGCTGAGGCACCAGTATCACTTGAACCTGGGAGACAGAGGTTGCAGTTAGCTGAGATCACACCACTGCACTCCAGCCTGGGCAACAGAGTGAGACTTGATCTCAAAAAAAGAGAAAAAGCATCTCTATGTGTGGGCCAAAGGAAAATCTAGTAAAGAGCAATGTGAACAGCCATCAGTGACTGAAGGGAGGTATTGCTGAGTGGGACTCAGTTGTGGGGCCGGACCACAGGTTTTGAAGTCATTGGGAGCAAGATGAAAAAAATCCTGTTATTTTCCTATGGAAGAGAATGTATTGGGTACTCAGCTGATTTGAAATAGTAAAATGTTGTGGAAGGCTGGAGGAGTAGCTGCTGTCTAGTAAGAATGAAAGGAAAAAGTAAGTTTTATGTGTTCAGGAGGAGGTTTAAGTGAGCCTTAAGAAAAGACAAGTAAAACACAAGAACATGTTTAAGAGAGAAATTGTGGACACCTTTCCCTTTAAAATTATTTTTCAATTGTCTTAGATGCAGAACTCCTTCAATCAGATAATCTACAGGTAAGATCACTTTTAAAAGTCACATTCAGTCTACCTGGTAATATAAATATTTTGTAGACCTTGATTCTCCTTCCCTCAAGTATGCTTTATGTGGCTGTGGGCAAGTCACTTTCTGTAATACTCAATTTCCCCTGTTGGAAAATAGGATTGGTATGATTGAATCCAAATAATGCAGTAACAGCTCAGTCAGTAATAGCAACTTATGATTATATTAAAAGGAAAAAAAGACTTAATAATAAAATACAATTTATTAAAGGAATCATGTTTACATAGATACAGAACATCTTTCTCAGATATTTCAACACCATAGCAACACAAAATTAATTTCTTCAGGTATAAAAGATGTGCTGAAAGCTGCATGCCTCATCAGTTTTTATTTTATTGGTTATGGCTATAGGTGACATCTTTCCATACAAAAACAAACTGCACAGCATCACATGTAGAGTACAGACATCTTAAGTTCATTCACAAAGTTAATTTTTCTAAACTGCCCTTGAAAAATTTAAATCTTTGCTCAATTCTAAACATTCAACAAAACTAGCTTCCCAAGAAACAAAAATGATACCCAATTTCTTTGCTTTTCTAGAATTAACTTTCCATTTGTTCATGTATTTTGATATGTTATATTCCCCACCCAAATTAAACCCTTTGTTAAAAGAACAACCTACTTCAGGGTCAGTCTAAAAATAAAGTGTACTAGATTCTGGAGTGTTTTTCAAATATTTTTAAATATTTGCCACTTATGGTTAAAAAATATGTAAATAAGAACATCATGTGAGTGTAGATAGTATACTATATGTATAGCATACCATACTATACATTCCTCTCAGAATCATTTCTAGAATGTGTATAATCCCGGCGTTAAGTGATGGTGGGAATAATTTGCTTTTAAAAGCCTACAAATTAAAAGGGGAAAGATGCTAAGCTAGATGCTGGTTTTCTATAAAGATGAATTTCTGAAAAACTGTTTTATGCCCTAGAAATACATAAGCCTGGCATCAGCTGATGGCACATTCTAACGTTTTATAACATTAAAAAAAATCGACTCACTCCACTGGATGAAAGCCATGATGATATTTTTACAAAAGCTGTACCCAGGAATCCACTCAATGTCCTCTCTTCAATTGGCATTTTTCTCTTTCATCAACAAAGGCTATATGTATATAAATGAGTTGCTGTGATCTCACCATGGAGCAGTGTTGACTTGATGTAGCGAAGTATTAAACGTTCTCCTTGCTCTCTTTGCCCTCAACTAAGTTTCTGTTCATTTTTGGCATGCCAGATTCTCTGCTTTCATCTTGATTTCCTATCTCACTGCATGACCATCTTAGAGCTTTTCTAATTCAAAGTCTGGGTTTTTTTCTCCCAAAGGTCAGTCTAAGGAGGCAGCCACCTATATGACACGATGTCAGAGGACTGGGAAGGACCCACACTCATCTTCCTGAGGCTCACTGACCTGTACATAAGGTTTATAATTTAGGTATACCCACCATAAGTAACATCTGATTGAAGGCATGAACTCACTTGAGATCCACTCTCAGAAACAGGTTTAGAGGGGAAAAGAAAAAGAACATTGGGAGCTTCAAAGAGGAAGAAAAGGGCCACAGAACGAGAGGAAGCTGGGCCTATAGCAGTCCAGCATGGTAAGGGGCCAACAGTTGGCTTCTAAAAAGTAAGGGGTTAACACAGTCATCCTAATACCACCTCCTGAAATACTGAATTTTCTCTCAGCTAAGTACAAATTTCTATTTTCAGGGACAGCTTACATAAATCAGAATTATATTTTTAGAAATCTTTAATCATGAATTCCTCTCTAAATTGCAAAATATGTTACAATTTCCTAAGGAACTTTTTTTTTACAATAAAGACAAAGATTTGGGATTTGCAGAATCTTTTGGCCCAATTAAAAACGAAAGAAGCTGTAAATATCCAGAACTTAATAGACGTATAAATTATAAACAAAACATGTCCTTGCCCCAAGCTATTTAAATTACATTCTTATAGATACATCCCATTTATGAGGTAGTCCGATTCCTCAGATGTAATGGGACGAGCTTTTTTCAGTTTCTGTTTCACCAGTCGTAGTCGGCATGCAACCATGAGAAGCAGCAGGGCAGTGATAGCCAAACCCAGCGCCAGAGGTAGCACCGCACCTTGAGGAGGTTAGACATGAAGAGGGCAAGCCAGTGATTAGTCACAGTGACAGCTACTGGTCACTATATGATAAGCACTTTTCATGCACTATTTTATTTTCATCCAAACAAATTGGTATTAGCATTACCACTGTTTTGCAGGTTAACTAAAGTGTACCGAGGTTCCATAATTTGCTTATTTGCCTAGGAGGCTGTAAGTTACAGGTTCAGGTCCCAAACCTAGACTTTTTTTTTTTTTTTTTTTTGAGAGGAAGTCTTGCTCTGCTGCTCAGGCTGGAGTGAAGTGGCGCAATCTCGGCTCACTGCAACCTCCACCTCCTAGGTTCAAGTGATTCTCCTGCCTCAGCCTCCCAAGTAGCTGGGATTACAGGTATCTGCCACTCTACCCAGCTAACTTTTGTATTTTTAGTAGAGATGGGGTTTCACCATCTTGGCCAGGCTGGTCTCGAACTCCTCACCTCATGATCCACCAGCCTTGGCCTCCCAAAGTGCTAGGATTACAGGTGTGAGCACCGCGCCTGGCCAACACAGACCTCTTTAAAACCAAATTCTGTACCAGCTTCCTACAAAATTTGTATGGCATCAATGGGTACGCATATTACCATCACTCTTACATCCAACTGAAATAGGCATTCTCATCATGAATTATTTTTTGTGTAGTCATCGACTATATTTATGGATTCATACATGATCATTCTTCAACTAAATATGAACTAACTCCTGATTTCTTGTTCTGGTTAGGGCTTAAGAAATTTATTTCCTTTCTAAATCCAGGGAACCGACTCAGTCAGTAGAACCTTTGTTGAAAACTAACTTCCAAATATGCTGGTGTGATTTTGGACGTTAAAGGAAAACATCTGTTTAGTTTTTCCTGTGAGGCAGATCCTTGACACCAGACTAGAAGTAGCGAGGCTTCCAGGAGTCTGGAAGGACAGGGTGTGCCAAGATCAGTCTTTTTTATCTAGCTTAGCAGGCTCTATTTTTAGTCTGATCTACTCTGTGGCCAGGCCAGGTCTGGAGATGACATGGTGGAACTGTTTTCAGCTGTAGGGATCTTGCCGACTGGCAGAACTAGAGGAGAAACATCTCCCTTGTGTAGCTCATTCTATAACATTTGCTCTCATTTATTCATTCATTCTGCATTCATTAAAAGCCTTCTTCCATGTGCCAGACACTGAGCTAAATGCTGGTAATCCTTTTATTTGTAAATAAATACCACCCCCCACAAGATAAGCTAATGCCAAGAATACCAGCTTTATAGCTTAAATCATTGATTTCTCACAACCACCACATAAATTGGTGCCATTATTATCCCCATTTTACAAATGAGGGAGGTAAGGTATCAAGAATGAAGTGAGGGTCAGGCACGGTGGCTCAGGCCTGTGATACCAGCACTTTGGAAGGCAAAGGTGGGCAAATTGCTTGATCCCAGGAGTTCGAGATCAGCCTGGGAAACGTGGCAAGACCTCGTCTCTACAAAAAATTATTAGCCAGTTGTGGCATGCACCTGCAACTGGGCACAGTGGCTCACGTCTATAATCCCAATGCTTTGGGAGGCTAAAGCAGGAGGATCACTTGAGTCTGGGAGGTAGAGGCTTCAGTGAGCTCTTAAATTACACTCCAGCCTGGGTGACAGAGTAAGATCCTGTCTTAAAAAAAAAAAGAGAGAAAGACTGAAGTGACTTAGGTCTAAGATTGTTAAGTGGTAGAGCTAATAAATAACCCCAGACAGGACAGCCCCAGAGCCTGTGGTTCTAACCACTATGGTACTCTACTTCTGCAAAATGTAAATGAGACAGTTTTTGAACAACTAAATCTGGGCAGACAGACATTTAAATGGGAAAAAATGCAACAAAATGTTATAGTTACTATGATAAAATTATGTATGAAGCATAGATGTATTAATAAAAATCGGTGGTTCATGTATCTGGTCTGTAGGATTTTTGCTTGAGTGATTTTGATGTATGATAGAGACTGTTGGGTGGTTGAAGGAGATAAGTTTATTTTTTGACATTTTCAGATTGAGATGCCTACAGGCGATCAGGTGGAATTTTCTCTTAGGCTTTTGGATTATCTGGGCCTAAATATGTGGGAGCCTTTCTGCATAAAGCTGGTAGCTGCAGTCACGATAGTGGGTAGGACAGCCAGAGAGAAAGGAAGAAAGGTGAGCCAGGAACAAGGTCCTGGGAAACACCAGCATTTAGAGGGCAGACAAAAGAAGAGGACCAAAAAGAACAGAAAAAGACCAGTCAGAGAAACAGGACGACGACCACTGTAGTAGGGAGTGGGCTTTTGGAAGCTGAGGAAAGTGACTAGTTCAAGAAGAAAGTCCTCAGCTGAATCAAATGCTAAGGAGAGGTCAAGTGAGGGAAAGCCTGGAGAGCCCACTGGATTTAGCAATTAGTAATTCATTTATGGGAGGACAGAAGAGGGAGGATGTTACTTTGTTTCTTTACATATTAAGAAATCTGAAGGTGATCCCAGTCAGGGGAATGAACCAGTAGAGAAACAGATGAAAAACGTGGGAGAGCTAGGAGATGATGAGCAATGCACCTGAGGAAATCAGGGGCTATATCCGTATCAGGGGGAGAGACCTTGGAAAGAGGGGACCCCTCTTCCTTTAGTACTGGAGGAGAGGAAGAGGGGCGAATGCAACCAAATGAGTTTTTACATTTGGGGGCAGGTAGCTGAGGAAGTTCACTCCAGACAGTCTTGATTTACTGGGCTTAAATCTGGTCCCACGTATAGGTGGCAGCCTCTTGAAGACAAAAGGACCTGGAGCTGATGACACACTCACGGCACTTCAACTCTGGTGTATTTTAGAATCCCAGGTAAAACTCCTGAACAAGATTCTTAAGAACAGTTTGAAAGTGTCTGGGTGCCGGAGGAGGGGATGGGAAAGCTGCTTTAGAGACTGTTAGGTATCAAACGAAGTTCTGGAAGAGGCCAGCATCCCTCCAGAGAATTGTGAAAGACACAAATCGGCGATAAACCTATGGACTGGCATTGGATTCTACAGCTGTCTCATTCCACACACAGCAGCCCTGGAGGTGTCAAGATGGCTGCCTGGTCTCTCCATGTCAGCAGTTTGGGGCCTCAGTAGCTACTACTGCCTCCTAGTCTCCACCTGATGAAAGAAGTTCTGACAAGGCTAAGTGGCCCCAAGGTGTCATTCTCCCTCCACCTTCCTATAAGGTGCATATGTTACAAAGGAACGGGACAAAAAAAGAGACTTTGGTCAATACCCACAAAAACTCCAGGAACCCCAAATCATTTCTCACCAATTGGACTGCAACACCCAGCCCCAGTCCAGGGGACTTGCTTAAAGATGAGCACAAGCATTTAGGCTAAAGGGTTAGGAAGCTGTGGTTGAAGAGGCCAATCCCAATGCCGGGGGGCTCAGGTTTAGCTATGGTAACAATGAAACAGACAAGATCTGGGAAAATTTTCTATTTGCTAAGTCAGATATGAGGCTGCTGAACTGTCTGATCTGATTCCTGTTTAATGCTTTTATGACAAGGAAAATGGAATCTCCCAAAAGTACTTGCCAGAATATTGAAAACTATTCTTGACTAATATTTAGTTGGCTTAGTTTGGATAATTTGAGATTTACAACTTTCTAGCTCCTTCTAAAACACACCATGATGGTATTCTCAGTAACCAGCTAGGGTGATGAATTATGTATTCTGTTCATATGAATGGGGGTGACATTTAAAATATGTAACAGGCCGGGCGTGGTGGTTCACACCTGTAATCCCAGCACCGTGGGAGGCTGAGGCAGGTGGATCACTTGAGGTCAGGAGTTTTGAGACTCGCCTGGCCAACATGGCGAAACCCCATCTCTACTAAAAATACAAAAATTAGCTGGGTGTGGTAGCATGCACCTGTAATCCCAGCTACTGTGGAGGCTGAGGCAGGGGAATCGTTTGAACCCGGGAAGCAGAGGCTGCAGTGAGCTGAGATCGTGCCACTGCGCTCCAACCTGGACAACAGAGTGAAACTCTGTCTCAACAACAAAATTAAAAATATATATATGTAACAACCAGAATAGGCAATAGCCAACTACAGCTGAGACTCTCTGGATACATATGGGTGGGGAGGCAAGAGGGGGGCTGGTTTTCCTCTTCCCTTGATAGGGCACAGGGCCACTTTTATTCAAATATCTTGGGACAGGCTAAGTCTAGGAGGCCAGCAGACCAAGGGGGTCACCCACATACTTGACATCTGGATTATTCTTAGCTATCTTTTGTTTAAACATTATATTTTAATATTGTCCTGATATTATAAATAGGGTAAAAATAAAGTTTTCTCAATGTTTATAACTTAAGTTTGTATTTTATTCTCCTAAAGCTTCTTTTACCAGTCTGTGGGATTTAAGACTAAAGCCTGCCTTTCTACAGGATGGTGTCCAAAGTCTTTTCTTGCTAGTTAAAATCAACCAAAATTAATGACATTATTGTATTCTTCTTCCACTTAGTAAATATTCTACTTCCTATACCTTCCCTCATTCCTATTGTCTTCTGTCTTTGTCACTAGGGCACTTGGAAAGAGAACTAGGTACTCTAAGACCTTTACTCTTCTTTCATCGTAAATAACTCTGTAATAACTGCCATCATTTCTATATTTGGCTCATCATATGAGCCACACAGTGCATTAAATGCTTTAGATTAATTATCCCATATATTCTTCTTAGCAACCCTATGAGGCAGGTATTGTTACTATCCTCACCTTACGAATGAGAACACTTGAGATCCAGGGAGATAAGACAGCCTGCTCAAGGTCACACAGTTTAGTGGGTAAGCAAGAATTTTTTTTTTTTTTTTTCCTGAGACGGCCTTACTCTGTCACCCAGGCTGGAGTGCAGCGGCATAATCTTATCTCACTGCAGCCTCGACCTCCCAGGCTCAAGTGATCCTCCCACCTCAGCCTCCCTGGGACTACAGGCGAGTGTCACCACACTTGGCTAATTTTTGTACTTTTTTGTAGAGACGGGATTTTGCCATATTGCCCAGGCTGGTCTTGAACTCCTGAGCTCAAACGATCCTCCTGCCTTGGCCTCCCAAAGTGCTGGGATTACAAGCGTGAGCGACTGTGCCTAGCTTTGAGCAAGGATTTGAATTGTGGCATCTGACTCTAAAGCTTGTGATCTCCCACCATGCCACAAGTATGACATTTTCCACAGGTGTCACACCTGGAAGGGTGTATAGAAAAGGCAGCTGAAGTCCAAAGATGGTAGGTTACTATCAGGAGCCCAAACATGCAGTGCAATACAAGCAACAAGGAGCCAGTTCTTCTGGTCCACTGATGGACTGCTCCTGTCAGGAGCTCTCATGGCTTCAGGGAATATCCTCAGCCAGAGGGCATGCAGTTCTGAGAAGACTACAGTCTGCAAAGGGTTTCCAAGGTGGACATTTACCTGTTTCTGGGGCTGGGTGTTCCCCGCCTCCTCCATCGCCCTTTGACTCAAAAATGTAATTTTCCTCTTTTCTGTCCTTCCTTGAGGAACTACTATCTGCAGAAAAGAAAGAATATATATTGAAGGTGTACGCATCAGAAACTTCAGGAAACACATGTGAAAACACAGCCTTTTTTTTTTTTAAGGTGGCCTTAGAGAAGAATTGTTTATTTCTCTACTAAACAAAGGCCTATGTTGATAGTTAAGCAGCAAATAACTAAGGTGACCCATTGAATAAAGCAGAGTACGCAGCTAATACGAAACCACTGACAGAGATAGCGGAAGACACACCCTGCACCAGAACTACCACCACGCCTCTTGGAGAAGGGAGATCTCAGGCTAGAAGAGTCACAGGGAGTCTCTGGATATCATGCCGTGAAAAGCAGAAACCAGAAAGGTTTTTCTTTGAAGAACAAACAACGGTATATATAAGGCATTTAGACATGCTCTTTCTCTTTCTCACCACAACTCTGGATAGCAGGTATAAATAGCTCAATTTTTTTCTGGTTATGCTCAGGATCAGGTTCCTACCCAGGTTCACACAGGGCTGGGATGCAAACTGGTTTCTTAGTAGAAACTAGTACTTCTAATTTAATGATGTATTACTTAACTATTGCGTTATAATACTGAGGGGGAAATTATTATTATTATTTTACTTATTTTTTTTTTTCAGACAGAGTCTCTCTCTGTTGCCCAGGTTGGAGTGCAGTGGCATGATCTTGGCTCACTGCAACGTCCACCTCCTGGGTTCATGCAATTCTCCTGCCTCAGCCTCCTGAGTAGCTGGGATTACAGGTGCGCACCACGCCTGGTTAATTTTTGTATTTTTAGTAGAGATGGGGTTTCACCATGTTGGCCAGGCTGGTCTTGAGCTCCTGACCTCAAGTGATCCACCTGCCTTCACCTCCCAAAGTGTTAGGATTACAGGCGTGAGCCACCACACCCGGCCTATTTACTTTTGAGACAAGGTCTCTGTTGTCCAGGCCTGTGTGCAATGGCACGATCATGGCTCACTGCAGCCTTGACCTCCTGGGCTCAAGCGATTCTCCCAAGTAGCTGGGACCACAGATACATGCCACCATGCCTGGCTAATTTTTGTATTCTTAGTAGAGATGGGGTTTTGCCATGTTCCCTAGGTGGGCTCAAGTGATCTGTTCACCTCAGCCTGCCAAAGTGCTGCGATGACAGGTGTGAGCCACCATGCCCAGCCTCAAGTGGGATTTTTGAATATTACAATGCTTAATGGCAATGAATTAGAAATAATCTAATGACAAATTTTATTGAGAAACAAAAAAATTTTTAAAGCTTCTTTACTCTTATGGCATCAACATAAATGTTCCCAATTCCTGCAACTGAAATAAGACTATTTAAAGTTCATATATAAAATTCTTTGGTAACTTGCATTTTGCAAATTTACCAAGTCACAAAGTTGTAGTGTGCAGTGGCACCAGGTGCAGTGGCTCATGCCTATAATCCTGGCACTTTGGGGACAGTCTACTGTGTCTTGTTACTCTAGAAAGATCCATGTATGTTGGTCCTACATACAGCCAATAATTTGGGCTTTCTCCATAAACTCTGAGCTCAGACAGGAGAGACATGAGGAAAACACAGCCATTGCTCATAGGCTGCAGGATCAGATTTCCCTGCAAATAGAGTTCTGTTACTGTCCAACTCACTGCAATAGCCAGGACAGTGGTCACCAAGGGCCTCTCTAGCTACCTGGATTCTCTCATACCATACCTGATCCCAGGTCAGGTAGTTCTATAAGACATTATTATATAAGGGCCGCATGCAGTGTCCCATGCCTGGCCAACATGGCAAAACCCCATCTCTACTAAAAATACAAAACAATTAGCCAGGCATCGGGGTGCATGCCTGTAATCCCAGCTACTTGGGAAGCTGAGGCAGGAGAATCACTTGAACTTGGGAGGCAGAGGTTGCAGTGAGCCAAGATCGTGCCACCGCACTCCCATCTGGGCAACAGAGTGTGACTCCTTTTCAAAAAAAAAAAAAAGAAAAGCAAAAAGATTTTATTATATATGATTCTGGCCTAGGAAGTTATACTACGAGTATTGCAAACAGCTGCTGACATAGGAAAACACTATTTAATACAGAAAAATAAGACCATGAAGCTTATTTATTTTATTATACTTTTACTGCTAGTAGACAGAGTGCAATGTTTTTGGCCAGTAATTTTTTACACTTTTTCTCAAGGTGAGGTAGTTAAAAGGTACATATTTAACCACTGCTTTTATGGTGCAAATCTCATGGTGTTGATATCCATATTGAAAATACGAGTATTTTTTTTTTCCTTTTCAGACAGGGTCTCCCTTTGTTGCCCAGGCTGGAGTGCAGTGGTGTAATCTCAGCTCACTGCAGCCTCAACTTCCCAGGCTCAAGTGATCCTCCTACTTCAGCCTCCCAAGTAACTGGGACTACAGGTAAGCATCACCACACCTGAGTAATTTTTCTATTTTTTTGTAGAGACGGGGTTTTGCCATGTTGCCCAGGCTGGTCTTGAACTGCTGAGCTCAAGCGATCCTCTCGCCTTGGCCTCCCAAAGTGCTGGAATTACAGGTGTGAGCACCTGACCTAAAAATATGAATATTTTCAATAATATTTTGAAGGTTCAGTGTAAGCCTTGTTTAGATTACTGCAGACACTCAACTTCAGTGCATGTTTCTGAGTTTTTGCTTGGTAGAGATATAGAAAACATTACTGTTTTAAAGTTAATAATGCCTGATTTTTTCAAATGCCAGTTGTTCGTGGATCTCCAAAAGAAACACAAGATTTGTTCTGCAGAAATATAAATCACTGATATGCAAAACAGTCCATCCAGCAGCCGCACACACAAAACTAGCAGCCCTGAAACAGCTTGGAAATGAAACTGCTAAATTACCTAAAAACCACTTGTGGCACTTCTCCCTTCATCCTTTTCTTCCTCCCCATGCCATAATGCCGGGTTAGCTTGCAAAGTGACTTCTATGCATTCTGCTTTATCTCTCTCTCCAATAATAAATTTGGAAGTGGTAAGATCACATGGTTGGAAACTCAAGTCCTACTTTTTAAAAATAATGAGCCAGGGTCTGGGCATGGTGGCTCATGCCTGTAATCCCAGCGCTTTAGGAGGCCAGGCGGGTGGGTCACTTGAGGTCAGGAGTTCGAGACCAACCTGACCAACACGGTGAAACCCCATCTCTACTAAAAATACAAAAATTAGCTGGGCATGGTGGCACACGCTTGTGATCTCAGCTACTTGGGAGGCTGAGGCAAGTGAATCGCTTGAACTTGGGAGGTGGAGGTTGCAGTTAGCCTAGACAGTACCATTGCACTCCAGCCTGGGTGACAGAATGAGACTCCATCTCAAAAAAATAAATAAATAAATAAAAATAAAAATAAAAATGAGTCAGGAATAAAAACAAAGCGCCAAAATTCACTAACTCTCGATTTTTTTCAGAGGATTAACTGGCTTGTCTTTCACCCAACAAAAAAACATAAAATAACTGCATTTACAGTGTTCACCCCACTCTGTTTCTTCTCAATGAAGATGAGAGCTTGCTCATCTTAATTCTTAAAGGAACTCAGTACTGGAAACACCACTGCACTATTTCTATTTTTTTTTTTTTTTTTT